AGGGAACAGTGACCGCAGATAAATCAGGTTCACCCAAAATTGAGAACCGAAAAACAATAACAATATGGTTAGAGTCTCAGACGTTCGATCGGCTGATTATGAGGGGTAAAGAAGGTACCTAGGTGAGGTCGCCTGGGAACAGTCAGGTCAGTCCTCGGTAGGAACGGGTGAGGTCACTAGCAACACAACAATTGATCATGACTATAATATATTCACTAGTATACTACGTAAAGCACAAGAACAAAATATACCATTCAGAAAAATTAGGTCAAATAAGAATGAGCCAAGGTGGATGACCAGACTTAAACATGACATAGGAATAAAGAAAGGAATTCTATAAGAAATTAAAGGGAGGGGAGGAGCAGCTCAGAAATAGGTATAATGAATTATCTAGGAATGTTAAGAAAAATGTAAGGAAGGCAAAGAGGGACTAGTAGTTGAATGCGGGTGCGCCAAGTCCGTAGACTTTCTATTGATAGATTACGAAATGAGGATAGCAAGAGAATCCAAGGCGAATCCCAAGGGATTTTTCCAGGTATATAGGACAAAGGTCAAGAACAAAGTGGGACCTTTAAAGTCAGAGAGACGGGAAGTGATCGATGATAGTGAGAAAATAAGCAAAGCATTAAACAGCTACTTCTTATCAGTTTTCACAGAAGAAATTCACGAGGAAATGCCAGAGGTGGAACTGATATTTAGAGGAAATGAAGAAGAAGAATTAAAGAATATCACTATCAGAAAAGAGGATGTTCTTAAGAAGATAAATAAACTAAAGTAGACAAAATCCCCAGGGCCGGATGAAATTTTCCCTCGAGTTTTGAAAGAATGTAAGGAACAGATTAGCGGACCCCTAGTAAATTTATTTACAAAATCATTAAACACGGGAGTTGTGCCAGACTTGTGGAAACAGGCAAATGTAGTACCCATATTCAAAAAGGGAGACAGAGCATCAGCGTCGAATTACCGGCAGATAGTTTGACGTCAGTAGTGGGGAAATTTCTTGAATTAATTACAGTAAATAGCATCCGATCGCATTTAGAGAAAAGCAAATTAATCTACAACTCTCAACATGGGTTTATAAAGGTAAAATCTTGTCTAACAAATCTGCTGACGTTTTTTAGGAAAGTCTTCGAGGTAGAAGATAATGACGAAAATTACGATGTTATTTACTTAGACTTTAGCAAAGCGTTTGACAGAGTACCGCATCAGAGAAATGTTACCAAATTGTCTGCTACTACTTACAGTTTAATATGTATTTGTCTGTCATTACTTATAATATCTATCATTGACTTACAGCTACAACATCATGGCTGGTCTATGTTATATGTCAATGGTTGTTTATCCTGTTCCTTCTTGGAGGTGCGTCATTAAGTCGCAATCATGCACAGTTTGCAACATTCCATCTCTCTCTCTCTCTCTCTCCTCATCTCTCTCACAGTGACCAACTTTTGTTTGTAAGATGAAAATTTTAACTCTGGTAAGTTTCCTTTGACATGAAATTCTCACTTGATTGCACGATTGTGCTTCCGTCAGAAATGTGGCTCAAACTTTAAGGCAATGAAATCAAGAATGAGTTAAGAACTGTAATAACTCCAAGCGTAGAAACTTTATGTCCAAGTCGCTGAAGGAGTCCTGTTTAGACTCGCTTTCTGCCTTCACTAACTTTACTTAAATTCAATTACAGTTAAGCTTCAATCCCTTCCACTAACGACTAAGTTATTTAGTTCATCATAAGACAAACTTCACTTACCAACTCAGGTTATACAGGTGACTCAGATGAAAAAATACCAAGCCAGATCAGACTTTATATCAAACCTAGAGTTACTAATGAGTTATTGCCGATAAGTTAGTATTTATGACCTTCTTCAATAATAAATCAGTCTTCATCATGCTTCAGCCTCTCCTCATACTATGGAAACTTGACTAAAGATGTTGTGTATTCCCCTTATATAATTTGGATCACCGGAAGTTTAAAAACCCCAAATTATTTTTTGGTGTTATTGTACACATCTGCTCCCTTAACTTGGCGTCTCACTCGACTCTACTCTTCCACGATGTGAAAAAAATTCAACTATAAATATTTTATGAATCATGTGTTCCATGTGATCACTACTACTACTACTACTACTACTACTGCTGCTACTACTACTACTTTGCTGTCACTCGGAATCGATTATGACGATCATCCAGCTATGATACAATGATATGAGTTGTTAAGGATGTCACCTAGGTTGGTGAGGTTTAAGGTGAATAAAGAGGCCGATACGGGACCGGCAGAGGCGATCATAGATGTTGCACATGTGGATGGCTCCACCTAGTGCTGGAAGGGCGGCGGGAGCGTCTTTCCGGCGTTGGCGCTTGTCTGCCTCTGTTTGTAGTCGGGCTAATTCGAAAGTATTGACGCCTTCTCTTGTGGTGATCCTCCAAGCGTTACGGTGTGGAGTGATCGTCTCCCAGGGCAGATTTGGCACTTTTTCGGGTTTGTCTTAACAATATCCTTATACCTTTTCAGATGCCCGGCAGCGTTACGTTTACTATTCGTTAGAAAACTGTAAAGTAGCTGCTTTGGAAGTCTACTGTTGTCCATGAGGGTAACATGGCCAGGCCAACGTAGTAGTTCATGAATAATGGTAGCCTCGATGCTCCAACAGTTGGTGTCAACGAGAATACTGGCGTATGTTCTCTTGTTTTCCCAGCGAACTCGGAGGATGGAACGTAGACTACGTTGGTGAAAGTTATCAAGTCCCTTCATGTGCCTCCTGTATGTAACCTATGTCTCGCTGCCATATAGCAGGGTGGGGAGGACCACTGCTCGATATACGTGCAACTTTGTAGATAATTTCAGCTCCCTACAGTTGAAGAAACAGGTACAGAGTATGCACATCTGATCCGATGTTGAATCTCTTCATCGCTATCCGCGGTGGTGGACAGGTGGGAGCTGAGATACTTAAAGTGGGTAACACTAGAGAGGGTACTATCAATAAGCTTGATGGATGGTGGAGGTGTGGTTGAACCAGGGGCAGGCTGAAAGAGAATCTGAGTCTTACTCACATTCACCTCAAGGGCGAAGTGTGCATACGCATCTGCATAGGTGTTCAGGATCTCCTGTAGGTCGCGTTCAGTGCTGCCGTTTCGTCTTAATGGACCGCCAATACTTGTTTTATTCGTTGGATACTACTTGTTGCATTGTGAGCTATTATATGCTCAGTGAGAGCAGCCGTGAGCTTGACAAGGTTCTGATGTTCTGTGGCGGCAAGATCCTCTGGATTAATTAATCCTATTCCTCCCAGTCTCGGTGGTAGTGCAATGGGTGACTTTTCTGCTGAGATTAAATAAGGGTTTTTCACTAGCGTTTTGATAAAAGCGACCTTGGTGGCTTCTTCCAGCGGATGGAGGAGGGGTCCGATATCAGGGATAGTGCGCATCAGGTAATTTCAGCGATGCTTAACTCCATGGGTGAATGCCACAAAAGCCGCATGCGGCTCTGCTTTAGCAATATCAGACAGAGCTTGGATTTCCTTCACCCACTCATTAACCTTTCCCGTTACGTACTCGGTCTTGAAGTCCTCCGTGCCAATTACCGCACCTAGATGCCTTTGGCCGTTTTTTATTTTTACCTCACTTCCGCCAAACATCTCCGTTGCCCATTGATAGCCTTCACAATGAGGAAGGACTTTGTAGCATTTGGGTGGTACTCTATTTGTGGACCTCGTAATGTTACCAGGTCCCACCACTTTTTTATGTTCACTTTTCCTGCTCCTGTTAGATCATCAGCGCAGGCCACTTGCTTGACCTCGGTTGTTTCATATTTTATTGCATGTTGGAGCACGAATTGTCTTAGTGCGTACATTACCATCGCGATAGGGTCCCCCTGCGATGTTCCCTCAGTTGACTGTATGATGGTATCTCCTCTTAGGGTCCTGAAGCTTGTTATATAGAGGTCTGATGGGTTCCTATAGGTGTTTTCAACATACATTGCAAAGCTTGGACACTTGATCTTGATGTTGTGCAGTGTGGCCCTGCGGTTGATTAAGCTGAATGTGTTGGAAGCGTCAACCAGGAGTACTGCCTCACAATCACAACAAACTTTTACAACAAGGCGATGGGTATTTTAGATAACTTTGAATAACTTCACATTGCAATCAAGAACTTGGTGTATATATAAAACATACTGTCATTATTGTCTACCAAGCCAAGCAGCTACTTCTTCCCTACAACTACCAATGATACGTGTCAGTAAGATCACATGGTAATTCTCATGTCACTACGTCACAACGCGTCAATATACTCTGACATGATCATTCCTCATAATTTATATTTTTACCATATCAATGTTTTTCAACTATTTCTTTGACAACCTACCGACATCACAAGTCCCTTAAATCCCATTTCTTCCACAGAACAAACTTTACCAAAAACACAAATGTAAAAAAAATAAGCAGTACTTATACTGTACTGTATATCTCATACTTGTCACAGTCCTCACAACCACTATCGTCTTGCGTCCCATTACCTCCACAACAACAAATTAAACCTAATTCTATCCGTCTCTCACAACCATCATTACTACTCACCAAGGATACCTACCGTACCATCTACCTGCGCCCCTAGCATTAACACTGCTATCTAACAAGTCGTATAATGCTCATGTCAAGTAATCTCTGAGAATCACCACCATTGCCCTTCAAGTTAACCTTCTAAATCTACTGAAATAATGCTGCTGCTCTCGTGACTACCAGTAATGTTCAACAAGTCAAGGATCAACATCGTGAACACAGTCTTCCCTATTACTCACATCAGCATGACCCTCCTTCCATATAGTCGTAAAACTGTATGATGATGGTCTTCCCTCCTTGTTCATTGATCGTTTATGGACTATGAAGAGGCAATGAATGGCCATTGTCGATAATGACACTAGATTATACAATACTTTATTTTCCAGTTAGCCTTAATAAGTGTCAGTTATGATTCTCTGTAAGGAGGTAGTGAAAACCTTCAAAGACTGCTTACCTCTGTATGTGTACACTTAGGAACTTACAAAATCCATACCATATATTTACAAACAGCTAATATTAACATGGTACAGAGATTTAAAAGTCCGACATCATAGGAGAAGCATATATAGGTATATTAGTTCTAGAAGGCATGTTTCGCTTAACGTTTCTTAACAATGACAACATCCAATTTAGCACATTCGTATCATATCGCGTTATTATTATTATTTCAACCTAGCAGCACTTTAGCAAAAATTTTCTCTGAGATCTAAAGACAATAGAAAAGTGTCAAATATGAAGTTACCGTTACTGATGAAAAAACAAAAACGAATATATTTCATAGTCGCACTTGATGCCACACGGCGGATGTGGTCACTGTTAAGGTACAACTCCAGTCGTCTCTAAGATCACGTCAGCTGAGGTTTGTCCCTTTTGTGGTCGCTGAGCATTGTGTTGGCTGTGTGGTGTTGAGCTATACCAGAGCTGCCACACCCACTGGTGGAACCGCCCACAGGAAGGGCTCACGACTCCCTCCGAGTGACTGCTGGGACTAAGAGGACCTGCATGGGAAGTTTTAATATATACTAAACACACAAATAAATAAAAACATAAGACAGTTACAATGGAGTCATAAAATACGTGATATATAGACCTGCTAATATGAAGAAGTATACAGGAATAAGAGATCAAGTAATATTGGCCTTACCAGTTAGTAAGGAGACAAAGTTGGCGAGGATCAGCGTCATGACGATGCTCATCACCCCGGAGTAACAGTAAGAGATGTCGTAGATGGTGTCGCCTCTTGACCTGAGGGATATGTTAACATCTTTATTATGACTCTCCTTCCCTTGACCATGTAGATACTTGGCACTATGAAGTACATTAAACACCTGAATCACCGTGCATGTGTGTGTGTGTTACGCCAAGAGGTTGACCAGTTTGAAGCCTCGATGAGTACATCATTTGACAACGAGAAGCGTCAGATCTCCCTCCGCGATTTGGTTATTAAAAAAAAATAATAGGTTACTGGTGACAAAGGTCCTAGCATGGGTCAATTTAACTCAGGTGAGACCAAGCTCTCGCTCTCCAGCTCACTGCAAGATCTGATCAGAACACTGGCCAGAAAAGTACTACTTATTTTACTGTTAATACAAGACACACCTTAGATAACTGTATCTAAGTTACTGATTTGGAAGTAAAACAAATTATATGCATGACACAAACTCATTGTCAGAGATGATATTGACGCTGGGAGCCCGAGTCGATGTGTTGTCCAGCAGAGAGTGAACCAGGTATGTGTTGTTGAATTGAGTCTCTGTCAGCGAGGTGTTGAGAAAGACCACAGTGGAAGCATTGGTAACGGCAGTGGAGCAGCCTTCAGTGGACAAGGACAGAGGAACAGCCCCTCCTTTACCACTGATGAAAGTACCAATCAATATCCAGATGTTGAAGACGAATGAGGTCACACAACCCACCATAACGCCCTGCAACGTGTACTGTATGTGTTAAGTTTATATACATATACAGTCTAAGTTTTCACTATAATCACAAGTTATCTAAATGATAATTCTTCACTTTAAGCTTCAGACATCTCAGGACACAATGATTCATCACCAAAAACTAACCTCAAAGTATTATTGATTATATCCGTGCACAAAAAAACCAACAACAATTAACAGAGACTTTGTACTTTACTAAAATATTGGCAATAATTTGTCTTACCTATGACTCCTCACACTACCCGAGAACCTCTCTGGCGGCGTGGTCACAGAAGAACCTCAGAGCCCTATCACACCCCACGTCACCCCCTCACCATCACTCCTGCTACATTACCTCACTCCTCACCATCACTCCTGCTACATTACCTCACTCCTCACCATCACTCCTGCTACATTACCTCACCCTCACCATCACTCCTGCTACTACATTACCTCACTCCCTCACCATCACTCCTGCTACATTACCTCACTCCTCACCATCACTCCTGCTACATTACCTCACTCCTCACCATCACATCTGCTACATTACCTCACCCCTCACTATCACACCTGTTACTTTACTTCAGCATTCACCATCACATCTGCTATATGTTGGGTCCATTTCAGAGAACTTTCTGGCACCACCCCCGAGACTATACCTTGCATCTTACCATCTCTCACATCCTCTTAAATTAGCAACTCTAGATGGACTGATGTCACTAACCCGTATGTCTCACTTATGTAGTTTGAGTTTCACATTTCATTACTTTGAGCCTATGATAGCTACAGGGTACAATTCAGAAATTAGTATGTTATAGCGTCATATATATTTGTACCTTGGCGTTGACCCACGGTGTACAGATGCCAGCAATAAACACCCCGTTCAGAGGCCCCCCGATGACGCTGGAAAGTTTGGAGATCAGAACGAAGACGCTGCCGAATTTACCCGCTAACATACCCAGGCCGATGCTGATAGCGCCGATTGCCAGGGCTGTTACACACGATAACAAATAATAATTTTTTAATGGCACTAGTTAATGGTGGCAATAAGATTGGTCCTTATTAATCTTAGTGCCACCATTAAACTAGAATGATATATTTCAAGCTATCAGAGACTCAAACAAACCTTGTAGTTTTTGTTTTTATCTGATAAGTAGTTTAAATAATTAATTATATACAGTATATATAAAACAAGTGATGCACCACAATTTGTGACTTGAAACAGACAACATCAACAATAAATAAATATTCTATCCCTGTCTGTTTTTTATACGGAACAACAACAAAAACAACAACAAATAATAATAATAATAATAATAATAATAATAATAATAATAATAATAATAATAGATATGTGTAGAGATATTACTTCCCTCCCGTGTAGAAGCAACGATCATTATTGATGACTGCTACACTAACTACAAAATAAAACATACACATAATATCTCTCGTTGGTAAGACAAAGGGCACCACTAGTTAATATTTACAGATAACTTTGAGAGTGTTAGTTGCTCCTGCCTCGCCAAGGTTCCTGAAGAAAGGTGCGCCCTTGAGAAAGTCTTGCCAGATAAAGCAGGTCATCGAGTTGCCCGTACTTGATATAGAACTGTAAAAGGACCAGAGTAATATACTGCATTATAAACATTAACTCTTTACTCCCACAGATCTTATTTTGTATTTAAGTTCTACAGTAGACAGCCCGGCACTACAGTAGACAGGCAGGCACTATAGTAGACAGGCAGACACTATAGTAGACAGACAGACACTACAGTAGACAGCAGGCATTACAGTAGACAGGCAGGCATTACAGTAGACAGGCAGGCATTACAGTAGACAGACAGGCATTACAGTAGACAGCCAGACACTATAGTAGACAGCCCGGCACTATAGTAGACAGGCAGGCACTATAGTAGACAGGCAGACACTATAGTAGACAGACAGACACTACAGTAGACAGTCAGGCATTACAGTAGACAGGCAGGCATTACAGTAGACAGGCAGGCATTACAGTAGACAGACAGGCATTACAGTAGACAGGCAGGCACTATAGTAGACAGCCCGGCACTATAGTAGACAGGCAGGCACTATAGTAGACAGGCAGACACTATAGTAGACAGACAGACACTACAGTAGACAGTCAGGCATTACAGTAGACAGGCAGGCATTACAGTAGTACAGACAGGCACTATAGTAGACAGACAGGCATTACAGTAGACAGTCAGGCATTACAGTAGACAGCCAGACACTATAGTAGAGGCACTATAGTAGACAGACAGGCATTACAGTAGACAGGCAGGCACTACAGTAGAGACACAGGCACAACTAAAAGACGCCATTTCACAAAAACTCTACAACACACTTGAGTGAAAAAGACCTAAACATGGGAAATTCTGTTCTGGCTGCCAGTATAGTCATAGGTGAACTTGAACGGGGAAACTCTCCCTAACAAGGAAAATTCGTCAAAACATTTGTTCGGGTAATTAGACGGATATATGCTCTGTAACCTATCTTAAGCTAATTTAAACTAATTTAAGCTAATTTAATCTAATTCAATCTTATGTAACCCAACCTAAGCTAAACTAATTTTCCCTAACCTAACCTCACTTAACCTAACTTAACCTAAGCTAATCTAACGTAACGTAACGTAAAGTAACGTAACCTAACCCTTTTACAGTACACCCCACCGTGGATCTCACCAAAAATAATTAACATAAATGAACAATTTTGTCCTAATTTTCTTACAAAACATTAAGAACATTAATTCACAAAACTTGATTAAACTGTCACGTAGTTTGCATCAGTGATTGAGGCAGTAATGACACTATGATAATTATTTGTTGTTCATAATTATGTTATTTTATGACTGGAGGTGACAGAGGTGGTAGCGGGAGGGGGTGGTGATATTACAGCAGAGGAGGAGGGAGTGTGGTGGCTCTCTCTCTCTCTCTCTCTCTCTCTCTCTCTCTCTCTCTCTCTCTCTCTCTCTCTCTCTCTCTCTCTCACTGCCTCCACCACTAAGACGCCTCTCTCTTCTCTTTAATTTCTGGCCTCCTCAGCCTCTTCTTCCTTGTAATTAGTTCCTAAATTTTAGTAAACAATGAACCCAGAAATTATGCATCAAGAACTGTACTGAAATTGCTTGGGAGAGAAAGGTAAAAAGAGAGTCCAACAGAGGTAGTGAGTACCAAGCAGTGAGGATACAACACACTGAGTACCAAGTAGTGAGGATACAACACATTGAGTACCAAGTAGTGAGGATACAACACATTGAGTACTAAACAGTGTGGTTACAACCTAACCTGACCTAAACTCATGACAAGAGCTTCATAAATCCAAGTGTGTTAGCCATTGCATGAAATGTTTGGTTTAGACAGAATTTATTTATTAGTGTAGTGGTGACAAGGTCAGTCTTCATCCCTGACACTGACTGACAACACCTTTATTGCTTAATATCAAACCCTCACCAACAGGGCAAAAATATTACGTATTTCTCGTTGTCTCTGTTTACCTACATATATAACATTTGCTGTTGTGTATGTGCGTGTATGTAAATATGTAGGTTATGTGTGTGCACTTGTAAGTACTATGTGCGTGTTAGTGTGTGCATGGATGTATATATGATGTTTGTTTCCAGGAAAATTTTGGCAATAATCTCTGCCACACATTTCTTAACTTTCTTTGTTCATGGAGACATTCACGAAGATCAATATGATTTCAACAATCTACAGTAATATAAGAAAAGTTTGGTTGAGGCAGAAAAGAATTCCTTAAATGAAGTAGAGTTATTTTGACGACATATACACTAATTTGTAGTCATAACAACAATAATTAAAAAAATCCCTTAAATGCATCATACATACAGGTATACATCGGTGTGTTGTTCGTATTGGTTGTGTTTTTATGTATGACTTTTGAAAATACAGCAAATAAAAATTATTAGAAAAGGGTTAGGTTAGATTTGGTTAGGTTAGGTAAATATCACCAACTCCCCTGAAAATTTTGTCAGCTGAATTGTTTACTTTCAAAGCACCTAACTTCAAGATGATCGTGTAATGGTTAACATGGAGAGACCAACAGGGAGGTGTCTGTCATAGACCTCAGTCACACGCAACACTGGGGTTCGGGCTCCTCTTCCTAACTTAAGTAAGGCATCAAAACAACCTCTCCCTCACCTGAGCACAGCACCATAGATAGCCGCCACGAACACCCCACACATGCCAGGCAAGTTCCTCAACTTGTCTGTTACCAGGAACGGGATGATTTGGTCAGGTTTTTCAATCTTTCCGGAAGTTAGAGGATCACAGTCTTCATAGACGGCGTAGGCGACCAACCCAGAGAAGAAGAATAACACCCACAGGATGATGATACCAAAAACGAAAGCAAGACACAACCTAAAGCGAGAGAGTTAGTGTTGGTGTGGTGATAATACTCAGCTAGCCAGAATTTGATCCCTTTTTTAGGAGCCAATATGTAATCTAGAATCTAAGTACTGAACATATATAATCACCTTCTATATTTTAGTTACAATTCTGACGACATACTTCATCGGCTTCTCAAAATAATCTGAAATGAATGAATATCTCAATAACGAGCTGACAACTCTACAGTAAAACGGAGCATTAACCTTTTTGGGTAAATGTCTCTCTCATAATAACTAATTCATTCTTTTACTATTTTTCTGTGGGGAAAAGACGAAGACTTACGTGGTGATAACATTTTCAGAGAGTAACCACCCTAAACCTAACCTAACCTAACTTAAACTCAGCCAAGCGAAGCTAAACTAAGCTAACTTCACTCAACCTAACCTAAACTAACGCCCCAGTTAGCGTCAAAGTGTTTAATATTCACATGAAGTAAGTTTAAGGGTCAATCTTCAGTTGATCTCTTTAAAAGAATTATAAGAAAACATAATTTACATCGTAACGGGAACCAAATATTAACTTATTTTAGCACACGAAATATTATGAAAATTAAATTATAAATATTTGTTTTTTGAAAATTACTATTGTCATTATTTTGTTTAAACAAGACAATATGATAAAAATTAAAAAAAAAAAGCTTTGTGCAATTAGGTTTTTAACAGTTACATGCACTCATATACTTTTTTATGAATTTAGTTATCAAGAGACTTCAAACATGACCCAATTTCCCTCGAGTGAAAAATAAATGTGGTGAAAGATAAAAGTAATAACTATAAATCATTTGCAGGAGATGTTCTAGTAATGCAATTAATATCATCGATTACTATAATAAGCACGTGTAGCCAGCCAAAAGATATTTACATTTTATTCTCGCTTAAGTGATTACATTTTCTGGAGGAACGTCATTCACTATTATTATTTTTATTTACTTTCACTTGTTCTAATTTCTTGATACTGACAATATACGTATATTTAATAGCCCATGATTTATTCTGCTGAGTTATTTTCCTCTCTGAAAGTAATATTAATTAGTCTTCATAAATATTTTTTATCCTGGTTAGGTTAATTTTTAATCTTTTTTAATTGCTTGATTCATTAACAACCTGTAATATTTTAATCATTTAGCGTAAAGAATTTGATGTCTTATATCCTGTCAGAAAAGGAATATTGTGAAGTAGTTGCTCAGCCTATTATATGCAAATCTTTCAAATCATTAAAATTGTATATAATTGTAAGTAATTTGTTGATATTTTTACCTCATCTGATTTTAAGCAATAGAAGAAATGTATCTGATTTTAATTAATAGAGCAAATCTGTCTGGTGTAAGCAATAGAACAAACCTCTAATTTTAAGCAATGGAATAAGTTTACCCCGTTGTAAATGATATAAAAAGTCTACCTATTTACTTTTAGGTGCAAAAAATATCTGAGATGTTGTAGATCACGCACCATAAACTTCTTACCGTACCTTTGTGATGTTTGAAGGGTGTTAACACTGGCGAGTCTCTGGAATGTGATCTGGTTGAAAGCAGCGAGATATAAAAAGATGTGGACACCCAACAACATTGTCGACCAGAAGGTGTGGCGCACGAATGGGTTGGGGTCGAAGCTGTGTGGGTGAGAGAGTAAGAAAGAAGAGTATACTTAATTGTGAGCAGATTTCACCATGTTACAACACAATATTAGGCTATCAGGTCGTAGAGGAGTGAGCTTTGACTAGTTCATATCCATCAATTTGCTAAGTTCATCACAATTCAGATGGAGGTTGAATCCCGTGTTTACCTCATCGTCAGACTGTGGAGGCGGCACCGTTAATCACACAATCAATGACCCAGTAAATGTCTGCTTAAAACTAGTTAACTCAAGTGATGTCTGCCCTACACTTGTGCTAATGCAGGATTTATATTCACCATGCAAACCCTTAGTAACAAAAAAAATAATAGTAATACAAGAAAAGAATGACTTGGCAATAATATAAAGAATAAAAGTATCGTTAGCGTAAAATACATTATCGTTTGTAGTAATAAGATCCAATGACAGTTCTTGACTGAGTGAGAACAACTGAATCATCTGGTAGGGTCATATAAAATCCAAAATACTTATAGAAGAGAGAAATCAGCAGTACAGGTAAAAAATAAATCCTTCAAAAAACTCACTTGAAGAACTGGAGGCGGGAGCCACGGTCAGCTATGGTCCACACATTGCCAACACCACCCAAGTCCAGGCAGCAGATAACTACCACCGCCAGCAAACCCAGGAACATGAGTGATGTTTGAAGCACATCAGTGTACACTACGGCCTTCACTCCTCCCTGGAAATTAGTGATACAACAGCTTCACTACACACTGAGGTGGCTGAGGTAAATGTCTGGTAATAGAGGTACAACAGCTTCACTACACGCTGAGGTGGCTGAGGTAAATGTCAAGGAAACTGATTTTATGATGATTGGAGGGTTCAGGGATTTGCTGGTGGAAGATAATTGTCTAGAGGGCGGAAAGGAACAACAGAGGATCACTAGTCGCTACTGACACTTGGCTAAGTTAATAATGAAATATTACCCATATGACATGTGAAGGTAAGGTAAGGTAAGGTAAGGTAAGGTAAGGTAAGGTTAGGTTAGGTTAGGTTAAGTCGAAATAATCTTCAAGTGATCCTAACAATATTACAACTCACAATAGAAGTGTAGAAGGTGCAGATGACGCCCAGGATGACAATTGACGTAGTGGTGGACAGGTTTGTGACTGTGGACAGGGCCAGTGACGGGGCGTACAGGCATATACCCATTAAGATGAGATTGTAAAGTAGCTGCAAGGATGATGCCATCTTCCGTAGTAGTCGAGATTTAAACCGAATCTCAAGATACTGTAGTGAGGGAGGAAAGGAAGATGGCTTGTTAATGTTATACTATTATTACTGCACTTTAACAACTAAGGTTTTATAAACATATAATCAAGGTTTATTCATACACTAGTCGCCAAATAAGATCTGTATCACAAAGGGTATATATGTAACGTAAGTCACTATCACCCAATAATCGGTATTGTAGACTCAACTAACCTCATTGATGGAAACCAGCTTCAGGTTATATAGGATTGGCAGCGTCACTTGGTGGATAAATATACAGACAGGAAACAATCCGACAAAGAGGACGATAAGTTGAGTTCCGTACATGTATATCTCGGAGGGCTGTCCTGTTTAACACCAAATTATAAAGTTGATTAATCGTATTGAATCACAACCCCCAACTAACCCCACCACCCCTCTACACACACACACACACACACACACACACACACACACACACACACACACACACACACACACACATCTGAAAGAGCTGGATGAGAATTACTTATACAGTGTTCATTGTAGCCCATCCCTCGCTACCTGTCTGCTAGTATGAAAATCTCTAGACGTTCCGGCGCGATAGGGAGGGGCCAGTCAGCTCCTCCCACCGTCTCCTTCTACTTCGAAGTACTTTCAGAACACCACCTGACGCCATCGCAGAAACCAATCATTTTTGGGAATCGAAAAGTGACCACACCACAGCGTCTCCCTAATTCGAGTTGATATAAAGTTATGCTCAGCTAAGGGACACAGATTCATTCTGCCTCTTCCTCTCAGTTCACTGTCCAGCTAACTTGCTGAGTCACCTTCAAGCATATTTTTCTCTTAGGTCTAGGGACGTGCCAAATTTAGATATTGATGATTTATCAATGTTAAAAGCTGCGATAAGTAATGACTTGAACTGTGTGTGCTGGGATCATGTAGCAGTAAGTAACAAAAAGATGAGGTTCCCCCATGTTGCAGTAAGTAACAAAAAGAGGCGGCTCCCTCATGTAGCAGTAAGTAACAAAAAGAGGCGGCTCCCTCATGTAGCAGTAAGTAACAAAAAGAGGCGGCTCCCTCATGTAGCAGTAAGTGATAAGGGCAGGAGGCTCCTCGTGTAGTAGTAGGTGTCAGGGGCAGGAGGCTCCATGTATAGCAGGAGGTGATAGGGGCAGGAGGCTCCTTGTATAGTCGTAGTAGGTGATAGGGGCAGGAGGCTCCTCGTGTAGTAGTAGGTGTCAGGGGCAGGAGGCTCCATGTATAGCAGGAGGTGATAGGGGCAGGAGGCTCCTTGTATAGTAGTAGTAGGTGATAGGGGCAGGAGGCTCCTCGTGTAGTAGTAGGTGTCAGGGGCAGGAGGCTCCATGTATAGCAGGAGGTGATAGGGGCAGGAGGCTCCTTGTATAGTAGTAGTAGGTGATAGGGGCGGGAGGCTCCTTGTATAGCAGTAGGTGACAGAGGCAGGAGGCTCCTCGTGTAGTAGTAGGTGTCAGGGGCAGGAGGCTCCATGTATAGCAGGAGGTGATAGAGGCAGGAGGCTCCTTGTATAGCAGTAGGTGACAGGGGCAGGAGGCTCCTCGTGTAGTAATAGGTGTCAGGGGCAGGAGGCTCCTTGTATAGCAGTAGGTGACAGGGGAGGCGTAAAGTATGTAGTTTATATACAGCAGTGAGGTGGTTATCGTCCTTCTGTCGCCCTCTTGGTCTCACACTGTTCCCAACTGCACAACTTTCTTCATCAAAACACTGTCTACCAACTTTATGGACAAAACTTCTTGGAGCAACTTTTCCTGCAACATCTTGCCGCGGCAGATGATGATACACCTCTTATGGCAACGCTAAAACTTACCCAGTTTTGTCAAGACTCTGAAACTGTGTCAGTGTCTTGGCATGACATTTGACACTAGTATGGCAACTCTGAAACTATCCCAGTGTCTTGCCATGACAGATGTGACACTTATCTGGCAACTATGAAACTGTAAAAACAAATTATATCCTTGGTTCAGTACAACTACAGGTATATGTCAGCATATACTTAATACAAAAAAGAAATTTCTACTAAAAAATGCACATAAATTGTAAACATAACCAGAGGAGCAAAAACAATGTGAGTTTAAATAAGAGTTGTGAGCGAGGTGTTTCAAGAAGCAGACCAGAGCAGCCAAACGTGTATCATTATATTCCACCTAACACGTAGCAAGAATAACATCAAACTACATTAAGTGAAGGAATCCATTGTTATTGGTTGTTCTCAGGGATGGTAGTAATTCATTGACTAGCGTTACTTTGCTTTATTTATTCTCATTGGTGAATAGAACTCTGTTAATGGGTTCGAGTGGTTAAATGACTCTATAGTTTATGTTTCTCGTAAGTCAATAATGGCTGAGTTATCCCATTACCCCCAATCACTTTACCTGGTTTTGTTTTACACTAAATGTGAGTCATGAAAATCAATAGATGACGGAAAAAATAAATAATGGCGCCATTAACATATAACTTACGTAAAAATAATTTATGAGTGTTGATAAAAAAAAATTTCTCCCACAACTTTCGTGTAAGGAAAAAATTCTATATTTTTATCAACATAATAGATTGATTGACATTAAAGAGGCAACTGTTACTAACCCAAGCAACATATGCTCACAGTTCTATAGAATAAAACAAAGAAAACCTTTTGTTAGGAAATAAACATTTTGAAACACTTTATGGTCAGCTCTCGTCATGAACTCACAAGACCACTTTCACTACTGGAGATATGAAAGTGAACAACTGAATAATATAATTAATCTCCTTCCTCTGAAAAGGGAGAAGAGGCCTCACTAACCTAACACAGATATGGCAGAGATGACGCCGCCGAGGAGAGAGAACAACACAGGTATTGGAGACAAGTTCCTGCTCCCCAGTAGGTACTCCTGTGTGGTCGTCACCCGGCCCTTGAGCCCGCTGTACACTCCGATCAACACGGATGCCGTCAACATGATGCTGAACACCGCGATGTCAATAGGTGTGAAATTTGGACCCGAGGTGTTGTTAGAGTCAGCCATTGATTCGTGTTGTGACGTGCCCTGTGTGTAGGAAAATAAGGTGTTGAGGCCTATCTGAATTAAAAGCTATTGAAATTATAAATCAATACTTCCTGACAACTAAGTGTAAGGGTGTGCATCCACTCCAACAATTACCATGGCAGCAGTGCTGCCGTTTGACGTAAATTCGTCTGCTAGACGGTAAAAAAAAATGAAATTCGATGACGTAACCGGTAGACCGTGACGTCACTGCACCGACCCCGGCGGCCCGTCGGGAAAATACCTAAATTGTTAATGATGCCTTTTGGGGGTCAAATGAAGAATAAAAATGATGTAGAATAATTATGAAGGTATTTTATTTGATTTCCTTCATTTCATAATTGATAGTTTAGCAATACTGTTTTATGATGAGTTGGCACGAGAGGATGACGTCTACTAAGAACACAAAGACAATCATTTCGTCCTGAAATTTGTGTTAAATCTGACCAATATCATGGGCATATTGACGCCATTTTAAAGCCTTGTGCACTTGATATTAGGAGATATTCTGAGGTCAATAGGAATTAATTTTCACTATACAAGAATGCCTGATTACAATACTGCAATAAGGAAAAGTATTGGAGTTTTCTGATGAAAAGGGGGAGTCCCCCCGCTGGATCCGCTATGAGTTCAGTGCCTATCATACGACTTTCACTGTAGAGCCTTTGTCAAAAGCATCTACTGTACACGCCGTTATACACCGACTTTCGTTGAATCCTTTACTGTTTGTTCTTTATTTATTGTTAATTTATTAGACATTTTAAAATTATATATTTCATAATAGTTATCCTTTTCAACAGGTAATTCTCTATGATATTCACCCATAATATCACCCCATTTTCTACTTCTTGAACTCTTTTATCTCTTTTCTTCAATATTATACTGCCCCACCTGACTTAAAGTTGTTTAAACAATCTAATGTGCAATATTTCATACAATATATATGCATAATAATAGTAAAAAGGATTTGAATTGTTACTGATACACAATATATGAATCACATTTAGCAAGGAAAACGTTTTATGACGTCACAACGCGAGGAAGATAACCAATCAGAGCGTTCGGTAAAACACAGTCGGAATTACGTCAGTCCTGCATGGCAGAGAGAGAGAGAGTGTGTGTGTGTGTGTGTGTTGTTACGACCGTGTCGTATTTTTCTATTTTTTTATATAACATGCTTCCATGTTGTTCCATATTATTCCTGTAATGATGTGTTATATTTACTATTATATAATCTAGTCGCCTTACCCTGTGCTGTTAAGGTTTTAACTGTTATTATTTGTTCAAGCCCATCTTATTTCTTCATTTAGTATTGTAACAAGCATTCTTTGTCCTCTAACGATCATCTGCATCGTTAAACGACCCATGTTTCACCTGCTGGTCGCATTGGCGGGAAACGACCCTATATATAGTACTCCACCTGTAGACAGAGTTCAGTCCAGTTCACTTTGTCATTCAGTTAACGTTCCTTTGAGTGACACCCGCCACCTGTTACTTATACTTATTTTATTTGTGTTGTTCCTGTCGCCACCAATGTGGTATATCTATGTGAGTACCTATTCATGTCTCTTATGTGTCCATCAGTATTTGCTTCGTTACATTTAAGTAATTCAGTGTTGCTTCACGATAATTAATTTCAGTTTTAGTTTTTTATATGTTTATGCAGTGTTAACGTAATCCAATGCTTTATTTTTATTCTTTTGATGTTTCGATGTTTAGTATCATTTGTGTCTTAAAAGTTTCGATAGTGAATCAATTTGTTGTGACAGCCTACGAGGCTCTTTATTTAAATTTTTAAAGGTTTACTATATTTATTTTTATTCCCTTTTAATTTACTTCACTTTTTTTGTTTGGTTACGCCTAGAACCTGGATATTAAAGTAAATTAAGAGACGGCGAAACAGTGTGTGTATTTCATTCTTACTCTAACAGCTTTTAAAGTAATGGATGACGTCAATAAATTGACATTTGAAAGACACGTCAGGGTACAGTCAAGAACAATCATAGAGGGGCAAGGAAAGCGTGGACGTCAGGCCAGTGAGGAGCATTTATTTTTATCCGTCATTCGATTGTTTATATTCATACGTTGAGTGACAATTGTATACAAACAAAGAATTATGACGCTGAAGCATATTTAACATAACTAACTTGAATAATGTAAATTGTATTCCAAAGAATTAGAATCAGCAGGCACCTACACATAGCTGGAGATAAGCTGACTTTACACCTTGGAAATTCAAATTTTATCTTAATAGATTAACATTACATTTACAAGGCTACACTTATATTGTAATGCCTTTCAATTTATTGCTACCTCTGAACACAGTTTCTTGAGCGTCACCATAACTATTTAGTTCGTGTGGATGGCGGATAAAGCTTCGGGAAGAATGCACATTCTCAGCGACGTCAAAAACGTGACCAATTTTGTTGGTTTAATATATAACACCCTGTTGGTAAGGCAACCGCCGAAGATGTAGCTAAACTAGGGAATGAAACGAATGCAGTTTCAGAAGCAGTTAAGAAACAAAATAGGGGTATTGAACAGTCCTACGAGGCAGTACAAACTCTGACCTCTCATATGAATGCTGTTGTTGACGAAACTAATCAACTAACACGAATTGTCCAGGGATTCACACGGTCAGAATCTACAATGGGATGGCTACTCTGCTTTACAGAATATATGCAAGCAGTTGAAGCCTCTGTACAGGCCAACCGGCCTATTGCAGACTCCTTATTTTCTTATGTTCTTATGTTCTAAAGGATCTCTCATGTGGAGAAATGTCCAGTAGATATCCTCAATTAATGTTGAATATTAACAGTAAAGAATAGCTTCAGCATTCCGGGAATTGTCACAAATTGTCTTCATACAGCAGCTCTCTGACGGCCAAGAAAACTGAAATCTCCGAGGTGGTTTAGCATTGGAGAAAAGTTTAATACATTTCTTCGCACTTCAAATAACCTCACTGTAGAATATCAGCAGATACAGACCGAAATACGACACACACTTTGTATATCAGTAACTATTAACTTGCACTAGTTTGAAAAAGACCTCGGATGATTACCCAATGTGGAATATTTTACTTTTAATATTTTTATTTCATCCGTGGATATACTATAGTTGTTTGATCTGACAGACACATTACCTGAGAAGCGTTTAGAAGTGTTAGAGTTTGACCCTGCAACACACAGTCACCAGCCACACTAACAGGGATACTCCCCAACCTCCCACTATCACGCTCTCACACCCGTCACAGACAACACCAACAAAATATCTACCATATACTGTAAGATACGATTTTGCTTATGGAATTTAAATCACATTAATTACTAAATTTTGGTATTAGTCTTCCTGTCCGGTAACAAAGCTTCTGTTACTGTGAGTGTTTACAAGATATTATACCATAGGTTGGTATTTATCATTCATCAGCAACTGTGTCTCAGAATCAACAGCTTGCTCCAACCCTACTGTACGTGTATGACATGAGGCAGGTGATCTGGTAACACTGTCTGGGGAGGAGTTGACAGATATGATTTAAAAGGCTAAATATTTGCGATCTATGTTCGGAGATTGCCTAAAAATGCATTTCTTGTATATATAACTGACAGATGAGTTTATTCAGTTTAGGAATGACCTCTCGTAGTGAAGAAGTTAAAAATGCTCTGATTTAACACTTTTTTCAGGCAAAGAAAATGTGAATGAAGGAAGGAAAGAAGTGAATGAAGTTAACAGACAAAAATGTTAATCAAGAAACAGTGTCAATACTCATTTCCATTGGCTAACAAACTTTGATTTATAGCTATACTGTACTGTAATTCGGAAAGACATTTCTCCATGTCTGTCGGTGCAAGCTGTGTTTTCCAATGAATCTCGGGTACTAGTGTTGGTCATGAATTTCCAGCAAAAAACACCCACTATTTGACTGCCGTTGATATCTATTCACTATATTAATATCATTATATTATTCTACTATAGATGAAGCACGGTGATTCACCATAGTTACAACAAATGCCAGAAATAATCACTGACAACTTCACAGATGCTAGGAAAGCAGGCCTGACAACATAATGCAGGAATCACAATTAGTGATCGGAAATATTCGTCCATTGTGACACATTGAATCGATGAGAAAAGGGACCGATAATTTTTGGGAGAGTTTACACCCTATCGGCCCACCCCAAACTTAGCATGGCAGAACAAGGAGGGGCAGGTTGATATAAAGTACAACTACCTCACTGACATCAGGAATATTTATACACAACATTAAACTATGATACTTAAACCAGTAGATAAGCAAAATACATTGGGACATCAATAACGAAACTCCTCCCTTGCTACAAACACATAGGGGAACACTTAGTAAATATCTTGCAAAGAGCATGTCACACGGTAGTGGAAATAAAAAAAAGCTACAGATTATTGGTGAAAAGCAATAATAGTTGTCTTATACAAAGGGCAACTTAACGAGGAAAATGAAAATATTAAAATAAAATTACAATGCATAAAAAAACAGGATTTTTTTTAGAGCGCATTTTTTAACCTGGAGATAAAACTCCCGATAAGCCGGATCACGGAAGACTGTGACGGGTGATGAGAACTTGTGAAGCAGCAGTAAAAGCTGTCAGTAACAACAACCCGTACGACCCACTATCAAGGATCTCAAGGAGTATCCCAGGAAGATCGGACAGCTCACCAGCCGCACAGTATACTTCAGTAAACCCCCACAAAAATATTTATATCTATCTCTTATAAATACTGGGATAATGAAATCAAATACAACAAAGGAAGGTAGCCATAGTTCCACTTTACACGGGGATATGACCAAGGTACTCGTGTTTAGTGAAGAAGAACGTTAAAGTAATATGCTAGTGAAGAGATGAGCGACTCAAGAAAATCTGTGATTACACGAAACATTGAAATTTATTCCCGGTCGTGGCACCAGATATATTTAAATTAATTTTAAATAAACCATGATGTGAAGTATATCTAAAAAAAAGAGTTAATGTAACAAATAGAATAATATAGCACGATAATAAATTTCAAAACGAGGTCTGCCACAGAACACTGAGGAGATAGTACAAGCGCCCCTCCATGCATGAGTCCATCGAGGCAGCACTATCATATGTCGGTCCTCAGGCACTAGACAGACAAGAGACTCATAGACAAGGGAACAATACAGTCCACACACACACAAGGGTTGCGGTCCATCATCCATTAAAATACAGGTAAAGGCAGTCAGTCCCTCACTCACTGTGTGGACAAAGAACTGGACCTCCAGCAACATAACGCAGCCGCAAGTCTCTCTCATCTCACTGAACGTTAGATTGGCGTTCCAGTGTTACCCTGGCGCGGATCCCTGGAGGATACTACCTGAAAGAGATGGAGAACCAATATTCGGAAGGGCATCAGGCGCAACAAATTTCACAGTTCAGTCTGGATAGTCATCGTCTTAGACCGCAGCGTACGTTAACACCCACCAGGACTAAAGAGAGCGACATGTTTCTGGTGTTAAGAAACTATGAAAGAGAAACCTTGTAACTTAGTGGTTCGAATCTCACAATGTGACATTTTAGTTGGTAACATGAGAAAAATTAACAAACAAATTGTACCAATCTAAAATACTTTCAAATATTAAAAAAAAAAAGCCTTTAAAGTTGCATCATGACAGCAGAGAGTGGAGGCGGCGACGTGACCTCAGCAACAGATACATACAGCAAAAGGCACTCCAGGTCTTCAAGTGATCTGGGCTGTGAGGAGAGGAGTGAATGACCGAGCTTCAGCCGGTGGGTCCGTATCCTGCTTGCACTAAGATCTTAGCCAACTTTTTGAAAATCGTCGTCATTGTTTACCCAAACAGAAAAAAAAAACATAAGAAAATGCAGTTAATAAAATGTCATTTAATGCTCAGTAGGTAAACTAACCTATAGATAAAACTAATGATATATTTGTTGATGTCAGTAAACTTGAAATGTTGACTCATTTTTTACTTCAGGACAGCGAAAAGTATGAATGGTGTTTATAGGTGAACATATACAATTATTTACTTAAAAAAAAAAACATATGGCCATTCAAATACTACGGTGGCGATGTTTTCTGAACACCTTACAGCTTTATAAAAGAGAGATACAAGGCAACAGACATTTTAAACCATAGACTAAACATGAGTGGTATGTTCAATGTACTGTACTGTACTACAGCTGAAACTGTGTTGACGTAAAATATGAGTTTTCGTCATTATAAAATTCTTCATCATATATGAATAAACATGCAACATATATATGTATTTGCTTCATATTCTGTGAAAGCAAAATCAGAAGCATTCCTTTTTTAACCAGTAAGCTGGTTGATAAGCAGCTTATCTGGAGATATGTATGGATTTTTGCGAGTTGTGAGCGCAGCTTCTGAGCTGGCCAACATGCACAACATGGCTGGACTATCACTGTTTACCACAATAATACTCGTTGACGATAAAGCGGCTAGTGACTACATTCATTCTTGCTGTGACATATTTGCATTGGCATGTCTTTTCTACGGAGTCTACAAAATTATATAGACGAAGACAATTGACTCAAAGCCACAGTGAGCTTCAGTGTTCATCCTATCGGCTTCATTTTGCTCTTCACCTCATCACAACCACTGGACTTAGTTATATCAAATGTTAAATATATAATCTTCGACATAAATCTTATTTATATATCTTTTAATTACTTTCCTGATAACCTGGTGTTTTCCTGAGCTGTCAGATGTAACGAAAATACTTCCATTTTCATTCCTAGAAGAAATTTAAGAGAAAAAGACCCTAACAGTGTTTATGGCACTTGTCAGACCACATGGACACAATTAGTTACAGCCTCAAAGAATAACATGTAAAGGCCTCAACAACAGGATAGGAGTGTAAGAAAAAGACAGACAGTTTGGCTGTTGAAGTGTGGGGGTGAGGTTCCTGTGTGTGGCCTGGCGATACTGAAGGATCGGTAACGTGTACCTAATGTTTGCTCTTTAGTTTTGCGGGTGAATAGTGAGCTCCAATTTACCCCACAATATCTAGTTAGAAAAAGGATGAACGCAGGTTATATCACCACCACTATCACTACGACACACCACTACCACACACCACTACCACACACCACCACTATCACTACCACACACCACCACTATCACTACCACACACCACCACTATCACTACCACACACCACCACCACTACCACACACCACTACCACACACCACTACCACACACCACCACTATCACTACCACACACCACCACCACTACCACACACCACTACCACACACCACCACTTCCACTACCACACACCACTACCACTACCACACACCACTACCACACACCACCACTATCACTACCACACACCACTACCACTACCACACACCACTACCACTACCACACACCACTACCACACACCACCACCATCACCTCACGCTCGACCTCGACGTCTTGGCTGACTGCTGAGATAAATTATCCCACATAATTCCCTCCCTGTCTTCTTGCCAGTCAGGAGAGATAAAGAATACTGGATAGTGTGTTCGTGTTGGTGGTGTGACGATGGTGTGATGGTGGTGTGACGATGGTGTGTTGGTGGTGTGACGATGGTGTGTTGGTGGTGTGACGGTGGAGTGATGGTAGCGTGACGGTAGTGTGTTGGTGATGTGACGGTGATGTCCTTGTGTTGGTGGTGTGACATTGGTGTGATGGTGGTGTGACGATAGTATGTTGGTGGTGTTGGCGTGACAGTGGTGTGTTGGTGTTGGTGGTGTTGGTGGCGTGACAGTGGTGTGTTGGTGCTGGGGGGAAAAGGGTATAGGTGGTGTTACTGATGGAGGGTTGAACGGGATCGTGTTACGTTCCAAGTTTGATCACCATTTTGTGACTTTCCGTGATCTGGTAGCGAGGGAGGAGGTCATGGCTGAAGAGGGAACAAGGATGTGTTTACTTATATTAATTCTCAAGAGGTGAAAGAAATCATCGACCAGCATACTGTTTATATACTTGCATCACTTCTACCCACCTGCTTTCACCGTCCCACCTCGGCAAACTAGGCGTGACGAGTCGTAAACGTTGGTAGGGAATAAGAATCGTAAATATTATGTTATTCTGTGGAATTGGAAACGCCTTTATGAAGTTTCGGAATGGGAGATCTACACAGGACCTCTCTGGCTAGGTGGGCGGTGCTTCAAAGCAGCAAGCAGTG